TGGCCTCCGCCTCCCGGAGCCGCTTTCTCTCCTCTTTCTTCCGTTCCTTCTTCAGCTTCCTCTCCAGGACCCGCTTCTCCTCCGGGGACAGCTCCGCCTCTGAGCTCGCACTCTCCGCTCTCTCCTGAGGGGAAGGGGACTGTCAGGGTTCCAGGAGCTGCACCTCACTCCCAACCCCGCCTCTGGTGTTGCCCTGGGCCGGGGTGGCTGGCTCTCCTCTGACAGGGCAGGGCCCCCCTTCCTCCCTCCCAACCAGACAAGTGCCCCCAGGGGCTGGGCGGCGACCACTCTCCCAAGAAGGCGGACACTGTTCACTCTGGGTCAGGCGGGCCCTCAGGGGACGGGCCCAGGACCGTGGCCCCAGAGCAGAGCCGAGCAGAGTAGGGCTCCAGCCCCCTCCGTCCTCTGCTCCCCCCACGCCCACGCCCCCTACCAGGCCCCCCATCAAGCGCCAATCCCTTGACAACACTCGCTCCTTCTGGAATCTTCTAAAACAACAAACCAGCCCAGCTCCGTCAGCGCCTTGGGCTGGGCTCACAGGCCACCTCGAGGGCCTCCTTCTGGCTCCCCACACGTGCGCGCACACAGACCGCCAGGTGGGGGGCAGGGCAGCAGGGGTTCGGGGCATCTGCGTGTGGAAGGGGCGTGCCCAGTCCCGGAGGATGGTGGCAATGACCACGGCCCACGGGCACCACAGAAAGCCTGGCGGCAGCAGACAAGCACCCATCCCCACCGCCGAGGAGTCACCCGCTGCTGGGCTCTCCTGGCCAACGGCCTGACCACCAGGCTCAGGCAGCACACGGGGCTCAGGTCAGCACCCAGCCGTCGGCAGCCTCGGGCAGTGCAGCGCAGCGAGGGGCAGAGAGGGGGCGCTGGGCTGTGCACCCCACGTGGGTACCAGGCTGCGTCTGGTGGTCCATAACGACCCCAGCACTTGCTTAGGCCAAGCAGGGTCGGACTGAGGGCGGCCATGGCACAGGTGTGCCCTAGGGACCCTCTCTCTGCTCTCTTCCTGTGGGGGTGGGGCCCCCAAAGGGCCCTGGCTTCCCCTGGAGACATGAGCATGGCCTGGGGCTCTGGACTGTCCAGTTTGGGCTTCCTGCCTGAGACAGTACACGGTCACTCAGTGGGGTGTTCCCCTCCCCACAGCGATCGCGCACGCGCGCGCGCACACACACACACACACACACACACACGCACACACACGTGCGTGCGTCCGAGTGACAGGCTGCAGGGCACTGGTGCTCACCCGGGCCTCGGGGCTGGACGGGGGCTCCGAGCACTGCAGTCCCCAGGCTGCTGGGATGACCGCCTGCCCACCCGTCCACAGGCGTCCAGCACGAAGACAAAGCATTTCGTCCACAAGGAGTGGGAGAGGCCGATACTGACCCCACACTCGGGGCGGTCTGGCCAGGGACACGCTTTTCCTGGGTGAGGTCTGTGGAAGCCCAGGGCCGGCCGGAGGCAGTGGGCGCACCTGCCTCTCCTCTGCCCCTGCAGGTGCTGGAGCACCCTCCCTGCGTGGGTTGGGTATTTATTTTCCAAAACGTGGAATAAAGGAGAGTAACTCCAGCAGAGACAGAAGCCCTAGCACGAGCCCTACTGCGAACGAGGACCCCACTGCTGCCTCCGGCCATCCCGAGGCCCCAGGCTGAGCATGCGTACTGTGGCTGCTGTCTGGAGCCACGCGCCCACCGCCGGGAGCACAGGCAGGGCCCTGCGTGGGTTGGGTATTTATTTTCCAAAACGTGGAATAAAGGAGAGTAACTCCAGCAGAGACAGAAGCCCTAGCACGAGCCCTACTGCGAACGAGGACCCCACTGCTGCCTCCGGCCATCCCGAGGCCCCAGGCTGAGCATGCGTACTGTGGCTGCTGTCTGGAGCCACGCGCCCACCGCCGGGAGCACAGGCAGGGAGCT